GTTTTCCCAGAACTGCAAGATAGATAGATAATAGATTATAATAGATAGATAGATAGATAGATAGATAGATAGATAGATAGATAGATAGATAGATAGAATCAGATAGATAGATAGGATAGATAGATAGATAGATAGATAGATAGATAGATAGATAGATAGATAGATAGATAGATAGGATTATAATAGATAGATAACAGATATATAGATAGATAGATTATAATAGATAAATAGATTATAATAGATAAATAGATTATAATAGATAGATAGATATAATCAGATAGATAGATAGATTATAATAGATGGATAGATATAATCAGATAGATAGATAGATATAATCAGATAGATAGATATAATCAGATAGATAGATAGATAGATAGATAGATAGATAGATAGATAGATAGATGGATTATAATAGATGGATTATAATAGATAGATAGACCGATCACCTGATGTCCTTGTTTAGACATTTCAATATTTCAGCAATAGTAAGCACTAGCCCTCATCACCCACAGATTTATGCATGGTCACACTCGCCTGGATTTGTAGACCATGCAGAATAATGGCGTATTATTTTCCAAGATTGTGTTCCAGATGACTGCTCAGGGTTGAGGCCGCACATATGGTGTCAGTGTTTGTTCTCTTACGCTCTATAACTAGTTCAAACAGGACAGGTCAGAGCATACATTGTAGCTGCAGAATGTTTGGAAAGCAAGGTCACAGCAGAGTGCTAACAAGTAGATATCATTTATGACAGGACCGGAGTTAAAAGAGGGAGGGATACTGTGCCGATTGCTATACTGCCACTTTTACTAGATGTGTCAGCGCTTATTATGACAATTTGTTTTAGATTCATCATGTGTAGTGTCCTGGGAGGTAGATTTACTCGTAGCTCTCAAGTGGCCCTCATTTGGTGAGACAGGACAAATCCCTCTGTCCATCTTCCCCTTTCAGTCATCCCTTTCAGTGGTCTAATGTATAGCCTGGTAGTGGGTGGAGCATGCTGGGTCCCTCCTACAGCTCTGCTCTCTGTACAGGCTATGTACAGCACAGTGATGATGTCAGTGCCAATGTTACAAGGAAATAACTGGGTTTGCAAAGACATTTGCTGCTCACAAACTGGATGTATATCCTTTGTAGTTATTAAGAAATATAGTTAAATCAAAGTTGTTGTAGATAGAGTGCAACCCTTGCAATGCTGGGATAGACCCACTGCAAGGGTTAATAAAAGTCTACATGACTGGGGGCAGTGGGGGCAATATAGGGGGTATAATTTCCCTACATACTTTCTGCTAAAAGGTGTCCTTTGTCATCTCATAAAGGAGTTTAATAACAGCATACAATGTAAATATGAAGCAGGATATTTACTTACCTACTTAAAACATGAGACATTGAGACACACTGCGGGCTCAAGAGACAATCCTTTCCCTTCACAAAGCAGTACTAAGGTATCGTCATGAATTCTCAGTTCAATTTGGAGTTCCGGTAAACAAAGAAAAGATATTGTGGAACTGGAAAGATCTCAGAGCAAGCCAACTACGTTATTATGGAACCTCACATATGAGGAACTGGAATTTAACTGAACTCTACTTATTACAGGGACAAGGAGGGATCATCACCTTTTATTAAAACGTAAATAGTGTATAACATAAACTTGGTGAAAAATGATTCATCACCAGGGAATCACTCTGCAAATGAAGGAAAGGTTATGTGACCCAGGTAAATGGAAAGCATTCTTTACTTACTTCTTTAATAGTCTTCCACAGTTAGATTGCATCAAAGGTGAGCTAGATAGGGTTTTTAAATCCCCAAAATAGAAACGGCTACTAATATTAATAAGAGGCGACACTGGACATTGTTGATACATTCAGTATGTGATAGCCGTTAAGGATCCGGATGGAATTTATTTTCCTGTTAGAAAAAACCTTAAAAGAGTCTTCTTTTGCTCTCTATGAAATGTGGGTTTAGAGTTTTGAGAATATTTGCTAATTTGAAAAGGCAAAAAGCAAAGTGCTGCAATCTATAACTACCAATGTGCCATGTATTCTTGTACTATGATGGAACTCCCTTTGATCTCCTGTCACAGAGCCATGCCGGTCCCAGCCGCATCAGGCACAGCGGATCTCGGGAGCAGCAACGGCAGTGACAGCTGCTAATACAAGCGATCGAGCGTCTATAGAGACGCTCGATCGCTTGACTGTGTTAAGCTGCTCGTGGGGCTCCACCGTCCTCTCGTCACAGACGAGTGGATTTTTCAAGCCCTGGTTATGAGTATATATGTTTCTCTGACCAATCACTAGGAGGTTCATGGCCAGTGGTGCATGTTGGGAGAGGACATAAATATTCAGGGTGGACCATGTGAGGTTCTCTTTCTCCACTGGGTCCTGCCTGGGGGAAGGCTGCTATGGACTGTGTGATTTGGCTAGGCCTAAAGCCTAGGGAACTAGCCACGGAACTGAGGCCTGAGTGTGGGGATCCAGTGGTTGATACTGAGGCTAAAGAAGATAGAGTAACTTCAGCTGGCCTGTGGAACCGGAGAAGTCATCCTCTGCTGAAACTGGAATCTGATTGGTGACTTCTGATTCAAGTACTGCTTAGCCGGGTGCTCAATACACAGATTGCCACATTTGTCTTAAAGGTCCTAGTCTGTGATGGCAGCAGATACTTTGTTCTACCACTTAAAGGAGCCAACGCCAGCCTGGATGTTCCTAGCCCTAACCCTCTCTCCTTGAAGTTCTACAATAAAATTCCTCAGCATCATATCTACAGTCTGGATCTTTGCTTTATCAGTCGCCATGGAGGGTGGTAAGTGCTATTGGGGCAGCTCGATTGCTACAATCCCTAGACAGGCTATGGAAGACTCATTTATCCAGTGGCTCCTTCGGGGGTGAACGCTACACTCGCATTTTTTTTTAATGTCTGTATATATCATTGCCACCACTGCATATCTCTTACATATGTTTTTAATACGTTGGTCAAAAATGCTGGCGGATGCATTCATCTTCAAACTGCCATGACATGTGCATCTACCTACGTGTAGCTCAGTGTTTTTTCAGTCACAACACTTTTTAAAAGTATGCGAAGTTTGGTGGCATTCCAGTCTAAAATGTAAAGAACGACATGTGGTACCCCCCGGATCGATACCAGACCATTAACCTATATCGGGGCCCGATATGTATTCTAAGGGAGGAACCAATAAAATAAAAAAATAAAAAAGTGTGGTCCCCCTTTACATCAGAGTTCTCCCCTTGCACATTAGGAATACTCCGTTACATCAAAGCCCTCCTTCACTCCAGAATCTCCCCTTCACATCAGGACCCACCTTATCACATGTACCACACAAACCACTGTGTTCCATCATCCTTGTGCATGGATTCACAGAATGGTGCCGTTATCAATTTTAGGGTAGCCCAGCATTATATAATGTGACATGTGAGATGAAAATAGTTTTCTCTGAGATCTCTAACTTGTGGCTCCAGGTTTCATGTACATGTATGGTTATGCCTGCACATGAACTATTCCATATCCATCCAATCACTACATAGGTATATTTCTGATTACGTAATGCTGTTCAAAGCTAAATGTGATCTAAACCACATAAGTAAAAACACCCTGGCCCAAAATAATGTTTCGTTCTGTAGGCAGGCTCTTGGTCTGCATTACTGCTTCTCTGTCTAGTTTGTCTGTGACCTGAAACAAGCACACAGGCAGTGTACCTAATAGCAGGGGCGAACTGGGCCGGGGGCAGGGTGGCAATTGCCCCCCGGGCCTCTCTGCCCGCGGCCGTCAGGAGGCCCGTCACTGGCCCCCGCTAAAAGAAGCCTCCGGCCACTGGTGCAGTGGCTCCCTCCGCCGCCTCTCTGCCGCTTGCACCGCTACAGATGCGGCTCTGTACTCAGCGGCCGCTCTACAGTGCCTGATTAGAGAGATCCAGCCAGCCCGGATCGATCCAAAATGGCTGGATGCCCTTGAGGAGCGAGCGGCCGCCGAGTACAGAGCCGCATCTCATGCGGGCGGGCAGGCTGGCCGGCCGGGTGCATGTGGCAGAAAGGCGGCGGAGGGAGCCACTGTAGACAACCCCCCCACAAACAGGGTCCAGGGACTGCTAATAGGCACATTGTTCCAGGACAGTGACTGACCAAGTAGTGCAGGAAGGAGGCGGATGACAGACTTGGAGTTTACAGCTTTAGGCCCCGTTCACACCAGGGCGTTTTTGTCTAGCAGATTTTTACGCGATGAACCGCCGACATTTAAAAAGCCATACATTCCTATGGGGACCGCTCACGCAAATGCGCGGAACCGCGCGATCCGAAACACTTGTCGCCTGAAATGCTCCCTGAGCTACTTTTGTCGCACTGATCAGCGCGGTTTCCATCTAGACTTCAATGGAGATGCACTGATTAGCTTTTCATCGCAGAAACATGCATAAAAATGCGCAAAAACGCCCTTACAAAAATAGAGCGTAAAACGAGCTGAAATGCTGTCGCCCTGGTGTGAATGGGGCCTAAAGAAGATAACACTAGCATTTTTTGTTGTACATTTCCTATGTCCTTGTTAGTTCCCACTATGTATGTTGAGATGCAATCTCAGCTTCTTGATTTTCTTACTATTGGAGAATTTGCAGTTGTCAGCAGACTCCTGTTTATACACAGATGGAATATATATAAGCGTTTTGCATGCTTCCAGGCTGAAACTGGGTGGTGTATTAAGTGCAAAACCATGAGTCTAAGAACAAAAGACACGTTCAGCGAAGTAGCTGAATTTTGGGTTCTGTCTGGAGACAGTTTGGGTTTGAAATGTTGTCACAGCTATTGCTATGCTCCAGCTGTGCATTAACTGCAAATCCCAACATGCCTCTAGGAGTCATGCCTCATGGCACCTGTAGTTCCACAACAGCTGGAGGGCTGGAGTTGTCCACCTTTGCCTTAGAGAAAAGCCATAATGTACAGTTTTTATATATTCTATACAGTTGAAAAGCATGTAACAATCTCCTCTTTTTCCAGGTGAAGGCCTTCGTTCAGGAGGACATCCCTCTTTAGTATCCTTCACAAGAGTACAGAAGCTTGAATCCTGGTTTCCCTAAATCTGCTCACAAATTATTAGAGGGTGGTATTTTGACTGCTTGCCAACTACACCATACCGATTTTTACCGATAGTGATCCTTCATCAGGGCTGGATTTACTCTCTCTGCTGCCAAAGGCCAGGTTCCTCAATGTGCCCCCCTACGCGCCACCTGACATTGTATGCAGCCTGCAGGTCTGCCATTCTCCATGGGGGGGGGGGCATGGAGAATGCATACAATGTGGCCGAGATCACTTGTACAAAACAAGTGGCAGCTTTCCTTCTGTACATTTAGCTCTGCTTGCCCAAGCAGGGCTAATTGTAGAAAACAACTACGCGCCCAGGCATCGGGAGATAGTAATTCCACACCCCAGCTGCCCCTCTGCTCCCTGCTGCCACGAGACCAGGGCAATCTGGCCCTGTTAGTAACCATCACAGTGTCTGTTATTTTCATATTTAACCTACCAGGTTCATAGTACCTCCTACTCTAAAAGATCCCAGGTACTTGTTTTTCATATGGATTTTGTTTATTATTGATTATAAAGAAGAATGTTATTTTGTGTGAAACATTCTTAGATACATTGTTTCATTTTAGTGACAACTGGAGGCACTATTGTTGTTATTATCCCTAACATCCCTTGGTTGGCCTTGTGGGAAATCCAGCCCTGTTCTTCACCTCTATAGTGAATACAAATACTAGCACTTATTGAGAATTGTAGTATGACAGGGCTGGACAAATCCCAGGAGCCAGGTAGCCAATGCGCCTTAAAATTCCAGCTGTCTCCTAACTTTTGAGGGTTTCTCTAGTTGTCAATGGAACTGGCTCCTTAAAGAAAACTCCTACTGGCTCCTGGAATGGATAGACTGGCTTCTAAATTCCTTGTAGATTGTCCACCCCTGTCTAGGTTTAATTGGTGAAAGAACAGAATCGGTTTACCCAAAACAGATGTTTCAGTTATGGATGTAGACTGGTATCATCAATTATTAGCTGGTTTCGTATGTCCTTACCGGAGTCCCTGACTGCTCCACAAGAACAGAGGAGTTGATTGACCAAAGGAGAAGATGGTAATTTCTCTTGGGGAAGGATGGTTAAAAAAAATATCCAGTAGGGTAATTGTAAGGCCCTAAACATAATGGTCATATTCTGCTTGAGTTAGCACAGGCATGAATCATATTCATGGGTCACCAAGAACTGCTAGTGTCACTGTGTGTAGAGGGCTGACAAGATTACACGAGTGCTTGTAAAATGATGTCTATTTCTGCAGACAGACCACCAGCTTTGATAACGTACCCAACACATACTGAACTGTGGGTGAATAAAACAGACTTTCTGATAGTCTGAGTGCTGGTGTGGGTTTACATAGTCACCTAAACTATTAGGGCTCATTCACACCATGTGCGATAACCAGTCTTTTTATGTACTGGATCAACAAAGGCCACTGCAAGAGCACACAGAAACAATTGCTTTCTATGTGCCCTGTTCACACCGAAACAGAGCAGAGGGCTATGGAAAAATACAGCATGTCGGCATTCTTCTCCTCCACGGTGGAGGTTACCTGAAGTCTCCATCTGTTTCTTTGTGACTTTTCAATACAAAATTTTTTAAAAAGGTAAACCGTGCCTTGCGTTGTGAAAACACAAGGTGCAGCCCCCACGGGCAGCACAGAATGGACAGCAGCCCACATGCTAAAACAGTTTGTTTAGGGCTCAATTGAACCCTTTGTTAAGCCAGCTAAATACATTCCAGGTGCATCAATATCTTTTTTTTAAATCCATCCCCCAGACAAAAAACTAAGTTAGCCCTGCAAGGGTTGGTTTTTGTGCATTCTTTTAACACCTGTTGTATTGAATCACATGGAATGTATTTAGCTGATTTAAACTAAAGGTTCAATTAGGCTTTAAAGAGAACCTACAAAGATACAAATATGGGAGCAGCCATTGTTGACTAGCTTTTAAGAGTTTCAGGCTCTGAGCTTCACTTCCTAGTACGTTACTGATGTAGAACAAGCATGCTGGACCAGTACACACAGAATAAAAGATGACAACCCCAAGGACTGCACTTTTTAAAAACAAATTGGCAAAGCCAGCAAACACAATTCCATCCTCCGCTTTTCTTCAAGAATAGCTGGCATTAGAACATATGCATATTTTTGCCTTGACATGGTGTCTTTTCCCAGTCACAACCTTGAGATGAAGCATATACCTGGTGCAGACCCTGAACTAGTACTTATATCCTCCCACTATAAGGAACTGGAGGTAAGTGATGAACATGGTATTTTTCAAAATGATTTGACTAATGTTGTTGGCATTCCTTTATCAGTACAGCATTGAGTATTTTTCCATACCAACTGTCTGCACTGGCATACCCTTATCAATGTCATTCAGTTAATCACAGATCCTTTAATGGTAATTATTTAAAAATCCATACCTCCTAGACAGAAAAATGTTTGCATTGTCCAACTTATATGGTTCCCCGAAATTGTCAGGCTATACATCGGGTGTAACTTTAATAAGCAAAACCCATAATCTCATTGCACTTCCACAAAATGTATATACTGTGAGGGGAATTTATCAAAACTGGAGCAGACAAAATCTGGAGCAGTTTTATCTTCACTGAACAAACTGAAGAGAGAAGCCGATTGCTTGCCATTGAAAACTGCTCCAGATTTTGTCTGCTCCAGTGTTGATAAATTTCCCCAGTGTGATTCCCTAAAAATTCACAGATTAAAGGTGCCCATACACCTTACGACCATCGCAAGACTTTTGTCTTGCGATGGTCATAAGCGTATTAAAAGCTCGTACGATCTGCCCATCTTGGACAGGCAGATCGTACTTGCAATCATCGCAAGCCCGCCCCACTGAGGGGCGGGCTTCCGATGACTGCAAACGGGCAGTGTGCGCGTGCGCACACCGGCCCGTTCGGCAGTTGTCGAACAAGCAGGCCAATTCTCGGCGAGTTTTCAAGACTGCTTGTTCGACGGAAGACCATACAGTAGAAGCGGTTGCACGCCTTCCATACACTGCACGATTATCGTACGAGAATCGTGCAGTGTATGGGCACCTTAAGTCTTCTAATGAGATCTTTTCAGTGGTATTGGATGTCATGTAGCCATCAGTCAACTGCTTTTTGTAGACTGTAGATGTAACAGTGACATCTAAAGAAGACAATAAGGTACTGCAAGGCATAAGACTATAAGTCATTATATGATGGATTTATTTTGGGAAAAGAACGCAAATGAAGGTCTATAGAACAGCTGTACCCTGCAATCTTTTCTGTGATGCTAGTCAATATGTAACACCCGCTTATTGTCAATGTAATTTTCTCAGAACGCCAAGTTTATACCCAAATCATAAACATTCTGCTATCCATGAGCATTTTAATAAATGGATCATTCTCATCCTGTACAGTACATGTATGATTATAGGGTATGCGATTAGATGTATAATGTATGGCTAGTGCAACATACTTTAGGAAAAATATTTCTTCTAGACTGAAAAGGTACCATATGGGTAGTGTCAACAGTCCAGCAGTGGCGTAACCAGAGTTTGTGGCCTCGGAGGAGCGAGCGGCCGCCCGATGACAACCGGGTGAATGTGGCAGAGAGGGAGCCAAGGGCTTCGTTTAGCGGGGGTCGTGACGGCGCCCCCCTCAGTCCTGCGCCCGGGGCGAGTGCCCCTCCTGCCCCCCCGGTTGTTACACCACTGCAGTCCAGGACTATAGTAGAAATCATTTCTTTTAAGAAAATTGCTTAAAGGCAAACTTCATTAATTTTGGAAAATTGTATTCTGTTACTTTTTTTATATGTATTTAAACTGTTTTAGATCTATATTTTACAAATAAATATTTTATACAGGGTGCACGCATGACACAGGATTCATTACACAAAAGAGAAAGCAGTTTGTCATTAGATTCTCTCAGTTCTGCTTGGCAAGTTATTGCTTTATCACTTGCTGCTGTTATTAGGAGTTTGAGCTACTGAACTCCGTGCACAACAGGAAAAAAAAAAAAGAACTGGAAGAATAGAAAATGCTCAAAGTAACTTTGAGCTTAAAAAGGAGAACTATGACATGAGTGATTTCCACTCATCCTCATAGTTAGAACCAACCTGTGACAAATAAGCTGTCACAGGTCAGCTCTATTGATTGGCAAGTGAGCAAAAACATGCAGCCATTCCGCTCACTTGCCAGTTGGCTCCCTGCAGAGAGCGGTGACTGTCAGTCACCGCTCCCTGCAGGTATTCCCCCCTCCCCTCTCTGATCCTCCAGCGCTGACTGGATGAATGAATGGGGAGGGGTGGGCACAGCTGGCTCTGCCTTTAGATAGGCAGAGCCAGCTGTCACTCACGCAGCTGGATGGATCTTGACAGCCGGGATCTGTCCCGGCTGTGGCGCTCTCAGTATATCGCGGGTAATAGCCTGAGATATACTGAGCTTTGGGTCATGGGAGGAGGTTAGTAAAGGTCCTACCGTGACCCTAAGGAGAACTATGGGGAAAAACACTTACCCCATAGTTCTCAACTTACTGCTGTGTGGAAATCAACATATGGAAATTTTAGATTTACCTGACTAAAAGAAAATAGCCTGTCATGGAAGCAAATCCTGCCACTGCTAACTTCACTATATATTACAGAGAGTTATGTCACCCTAGGCTGAACAGAGATCACTAGCTCTCCGAGAACCTTGTCTAGTCAGAACCCACAACTTGGTGACTCTCTATGTTGCCCCTTCTTCAACCAGTTGCTTCAACTGATGCTCAGATCTACCATGTTGACTATTTACATTGCTCAGTGTGGACTTTGCACCAAAAATCAAAGAACCCCATGGAAAAATGCTAGTTAACAACACACCAGAAAGTCACTAAAAATACGCACATTATACATTAGTTTCTTGAACAGGAGAGGATGATGGCTCTCTGCAGGGTCCTGGGAAAGCAGATAATCCCAAATCTTGAGGCATTGGGATCCAGCATGCTGGATCAACTTCTCATAACATTGAGGATCATCTTTCCAATTGTTCCACAATGAGACCCAGTGACTTCATTAAAGATGCCAATAGGTTAGGTTACGTTTCCTTTTTACATGGTGAACATTGGTTCTATATTTTAATTCAAGGGCAGATTATCAAGCAGGGGTTAATTCTGCATTTACAGTGTGTAACACTTGCATGTCACATTAATCATACATTCACACCTTTTGTTTCAACATCTCATGGGAATTGCTTCATTCCAGCTATAATTTATTTGACAAACAAGATGATTAGCTGTGTACTTGTGACAAGCCATGTTCTGCCCTGAAGACTCTGCAAGTTATATTTAGAAGCAGTTTTATAAATAATGGAAATACAGTTGACCTTTTAGAGCATTAAAATATTCTTACGCTTATTTATTCTTTTCCAGAGGATTCCACTCACTGAAATGAAGAGAACTGAAATTAACCAGCTCTTAAAGGATCTGGGGTTTTATAAGAAAGAAAGCCAAGATGCTCCTGTGCCTGCAGAATTTCAGATGGCACCTGCAAAGACTTTTAAGCAGGAAACACTAGAGAGTGAAGAGGGGAAAGTCAAGGAGGAGGATACCAAGGAAGAGTTGTAGGAGTTGTAGCATGGAAAGGGTTAGAGTCAGGCGCTAGTAATTATCTTAGGGATTCATAGTATAGAGTATCAACATGCCAAATTCATAAATTGCAGAAGCTACTGATAGACCCAACTTGTCATCTTCATAGTGGAGTTCACCAGTTGTATGGCTCTTCTTTACAAACACCACAGTAAGATTTCCTTGCTATATTTTTCTATGCTTACATCATTATGAACAGATATGCAAAATGGATAGTAGATTGGAACATGTTCAATATCAGCATGAGCTATAGTTTTGGAAGATGACAAGCTGGGATTCTCAAACTGACTGCTGTGGGAGCTGGGCAAGTCTGATGATAGCTACATTGTCTTTGCTATAGATGATAAGGTGCTGGTTATGGGATGTATCAAGTTTGAACCTAACTCTTAGATATTTCTCTCGCCATCCTCTGTGCATCTGCACACTACTGAGGGCAAAAGAAGGGGGAGAAATGTAGTTCAACACCTAAATGACATCAGAACTTTTTCATATTACCTGACCATTGTGGTTATTGGGGACATTAATGAAGATCTCAGCTGTAAGGTGTCCTGGCTGGGAACGGATGTAAATGGTCTTCATGACAAGAAAAGGTCAGCTAAGGTCAGCTGAAAAAGTTGTTTTTAATAAAGAGAACCTTTTAAAGGAATGTATGTGTTTAGAGGCATTCTTTTTATGTAACTTTGACATTTACCATTTGACAATATAGTAAAACAAGGTGACATGGACTCATCACATATACAAATGTATGTGCAGCTTAGTGCAGTCACTGTAAAAGGGAATGAGTTTCATTTTTTTTCATGGATTTGCGATTATAGAGGTGAATGTGTGATTTAGATACTGTATACTCGTAAAGGTTTCATTCAGGGGTCTATTAGTTTAAAACAAATAAAGGCGAATGTTAAGCGCCAAGCTGATAATGTAGGGTCTCAGGAAAAAACCCCAAAAAACCTGGAAGGAATGGTAAAGATTTTCCCCATAGGAGCCAATAAAGTGCTTACTTTAAACATAACCTACATTAGACAATTTGCAGCAGAAATTTGAGGCTCTTCATGCCTGCTTGTTCCAAGATCAATGTTCTTCTGGCCCAGTACCACCAACACAACTAATGTGAAGAACCTAAAAGGTGGCCATATACACCTTACAATTATGGTGCGATTTTCTTTGTGCCATCATCGAACCGTCGTTCTATTTCCGCACGACTACCCCATCATGCACAGACCCATGTGGATTTCAATTATCGTTCGTTAGCAATACTAACTGACCAAATTTTCGTTTGCACATGTGCAGTGTTCATGTTATGATTTTTTTTTTCGTACAAAAACCCCATTATCGATTTTTCAGGCGATTAAAAAAAAAAAGTTTTCTATCCTGCCCAATAGACAAAATTCGGCCAGTTGTACAGTAATTGTGATCGTTCACTTCCCATCAACTGGCCCATTATTGTATGAAAATCCTGATTTTGTTCGCAAATCGAACGATAATCGCAAGGTGTATGGGCATCCTTAAAGGAGAACTATGGGGTCAGGGCTTTTCCCCATAGTTCTCCTTAGGGTAACGGGAGGACATAAACTAGCGTCCTCCCGTCACCCTAAGCTCAGTATACCGCGAGCTACAACTCGCGGTATACTGAGACGCCGCAGCCGGAGCGGATCCCGACATGGACGTCGAGATCCGCCCAGCTGCGTGAGTGACAGCTGGCTCTGCCTATCTAGAGGCAGAGTCAGCTGTACCCGCCCCCTCCCCCGTCCGTTCCACCAGTCAGCGCTGGCAGATCAGAGCGGGGAGAGGGGAATCCAGCCCCTCCCCAGGTCACGGCAGAGAGCCGTGACAGGATCGAGAGGTGAGCGAACCCGGTATGTGTTCGCTCACCTCCCGATCTACTGGGCCGACCTGTGACAGTCTCATTGTCACAGGTCGGCTAGAACTATGAGGTGAGTGGAAATCACTCATCTCATAGTTCTCCTTTAAGAGAGGCTGCGTCTTGTGAAAATGCCAAAGTGCTTGGTTGTCTCTTTCTTAGACACTGACACAAGTCAGAGCTCCTATTCTACTAACTTGTTTCAGGTCCATGACTAAGAATGTCCCAAAACCACTAGATAAACTTGACAGCTAGGGAACTAATATTTTCAGAAGGTGATTGAAGTTTCCTATAACTATGGGTAGGTGTCGGAGTATACAAACATAACTGAGTTTCCACTTACCTGCATTACTTTTCACAACCCAAACTGCTTATAAAAGGGATTATCTATATATTTGCTCATTTACTTAGTGCCATTCGGGTTAGTATTATGAATTGTCTATTGGTTGTGGGTTGGATATTTAGCAGGAATCAATTGCCAGCCCAGACATTTTATGAATTATTGCCTATGATGGACAGTCAGAAGAAACATTTTATGTTCTTGTTGCTAGACTGCTTGTATCATCGAATTTATACCAGTAATATATCTGTTACATTGTTGTAATGGTATGTTTTAATGTTTGGGACACATACATATTTCAAGTAGTAAAACATATCATCGGCACACCAAAGTAAAATCTTCAACGAGTGCTCATTTAATTGATGTACACACATCTCATCATAAAGCTTTATGACGAGATGTGTGTACATCAATAAAATGACGACTCGTTGAAGATTTTACTTCGGTGTGCAGATATATTTTTAGTACTTGGATTTGAAGTGGTGCCATCCGCCATCACTGCCTTAAAAGGGACATACCAGTAAGGAGTGCGGTGGGGACATCTTTGGAACATATTTCAGATACTCTGTCCCCATACTGTAGAGGTTTGCGTGGCATCCAGATAAAATTTATTAAACATATCTCAGAGCCTGAATGATACTGAGACAATAAGACCACTGTGACTTCCATACAAATTAGGACTTTTTTCCCCATTTTTGGTCTTTTATGGAACCTGTACTTCGAGAAATAGGCTGCTATTCCATTGAGCTCTTATGAAAATACTAGTTGTCTGGCTGTTTTTTCCAATGGCTTCAGTAGTTCAGGCCACTGACCTGAAACAAGTGACTGAGATGTACATGTACTCCTCAAAAATTCCTTGACTTGACAACTCTTGCTGGACCAGACCATTCTAATCTGAAGTGTAAGGTTAAAAAACCTCATCAAGGTTACTTCATTGCATGTACCAACTACCACCATGTGCTTTATTCTCCATCTAGGGGAAGCAGAAACCCAGGAGACCAGCTGGAGTATAGTCCTGGGTTGAATCTTGTATTAACAGTTGCCAATAAAAAACGAAAACAGGCAAAATCGGCATACTGGGAGTAGGGGAATCAGGTTTTGTGCAAGTAAATGGCAAGTTTCCTAGAAAACCTAGGAGGTTATTCACTCAGCTGCCAAAGGCAGCTGAGGGAATTACTGGGCCAAACGGGAAGGGAGTGAATGTTGTTCAGCTATTCACTTCAGCCGAGTACGGCGGATTTCAGCCATACATCGGCTGGCTTCGGCTCCCTTCGATTCACCCGTACAGTTTGGCTGAGCAAAAGTGAAGAACAGGTTTGCCTCAGCCGATCCAACATCTGGAGTGAATAGCCAAATGCTGCCGAATGCTCCGAGGTAGTGAGCAGATTGACTGAGCTAAATGCTGCACTGCTGTTCGGCCCCTATGAGAATGTAAGCAAAAGAAGAAAAAAACAAAAACAGCATGGGGTCTCCCTCCCAAACCATACCAGACCCTCTAGGTCTGGTAGGAATGTTAGAAGAGACCAACAGTTAAAAAAAAAAAAAGAAGTGTGAGGTTCTCCCCAACACAATTAGCAAAAAAAACAAAACATGGGGTCCCCCGCACCATACCAAGCCACATGCCCTTGGCACTGGGAAGGTGCCATTCCAGGGGCCCCCTGGAAAAGCACCTTGTCCCCATGCCGATGCAAATAAGCTCCCTGCCCGCAGACTCCCACAAGCACCAGGTCAGGGTTGTAGGGAAGAGGACATCCACAGCGGCATGGGGACAAAGTGTTTTTCCAGGCCCTGCCACTCCCCCCCCCCAGAAAAGCACCCTCCTAGTGAAGGGGGCATGTGGTCTGGTATGGTGCAGGGAGGGAAGTAGACTTGGGGCAACAATAAGGCACACTGATTTAGGAGGTAAGAAGGAATTCCTCTTACAGCACTGTATGACTGTACAAAAAAAAGCTACTTTGTAATAGTAGAAACCAGACAGGACTTTGTTACTCTTAACTTAAAGCAGAACTATGGGGTTAAGGCTTTTCCCCATAGTTCTCCTTAGGGTAACAGGAGGACACAATCTAGCATCCTCCCGTCACCCTAAGCTCAGTATACCGCCAGCTGTAGGATCGAGAGGTGAGCGAACGCCGGTATGTGTTCGCTCACTTCCCGATCTACTGAGCCAACCTGTGACAGTCTCATTGTCACAGGTCGGCTAGAACTATGAGGTGAGTGAAAAGCACTCAACTCATAGTTCTCCTTTAATGTGCAATTGTTGCAGAAATATGCTCTGGAAAAGGACAAGCTGTCCTCTTTCTGACAAAGCTAGCATTCTGATAGACAAGGTAATCCAATGGCTTCATAACATATCAATTCACAGACCAGGAATAAGTATAGAGTAAGAAAAGTCATTGCTGCTATAGAAATCGTGGGTCATTTAAACTGAAAATACTCACAGCCAGGCAAGTAGGATTTTCAGAGGAAAGTCAGCAATAGCAGCCAATTTCTCTCAGCACAGGTGTCTTTGCATAGAACTTTGTCAGCCTAAACTAACTGCTTTACATAGTCCATTGGGTACTGTGCAAGGCACGTGGCCTTTACATATCGAAGTGCCTGTGCCAAGAAGTTTATTTCCGCACAGCTACCAATCAGATTCAAACATGCCCTGGAAAATGATTGATTGAAAAATATGTATTTCAACATTGGTGAGGGGAAATTGATCAAAACTGGAGCAGGCAAAATCTAGAGCAGTTGCCCATGGCAACCAATCAGCATCTATCTTTCATTTTCAAATCTTAACGGAACAAACTGAAGATAGGAGCTGATTGGTTGCCATGGGCAACTGCTCCAGTTTTGATAAATTCCCCCTGATGAGCCTTAATTAAATGGAGCATTTCAATGATAGGCTAAGATGCATTAGACATAGTTGTATGCAGAAGTCACTCACAAAATAAAGAAAAACTCAAACGAGAAGAAATTAGTTAATATAACTTTATTAAAATAACACGCTGGTGTATAAAAATAATTGTACACACAAGCTGTGTCCGAGGAGTGATATAAGCTCTCACAATAGGCAGAACAATGATAAAACCCGTTTGTTTTTGCTTTTCTCCTTTGTTAGGTTCTGTTGAACTGCATACATGTGCTCTTTATCTGAGCCAAGTATGCATAATAAAACTGAGAGCATTTGAGGGTGTACCATACATGATAAATGGAGGTGCTCACACTACTGAACATTTTATGGCCCGAGTTCTAAAATATTCTTGTTTTTAAAATGTAGCCATAGAAGGGGTAGAAGAAAACAGAGGAACACAACCCACAGACTGAAATGAATAAAAACAAACTTTGCTGCACTTAAATGTAAAAAAAAAAACAGATACACATTACATGGTTCTGAGATTTTCTATTTTTAATTTAAAAAACGGAAGAATGGCCGCCTAATACTTCAGTGCAGTGTTGTGGTAGAGCTTATTTCATGTTAAACTTCTGCCCCTGACAGTCGCTGTGTGCCTTGTAGATGAAGCCGACAGCAAGGAGAAGTATAGAGGGTCTGCAAATGAAAGAAATTGCACACTCTATGTAGTTGCTGTTTTTTAAAAATTAAGGTAGGCTAGTCATAATAAAAAAAACCTTAGCTTGTATAACAACAAGGAGAGTGCAAAACCATAGGGATTGATCCAGATATGATTTGTTTTTATTATTTGTCACAATAAGAGGGTCTATCAAGAGGTCAGCCAATGCATTTCGGGGGTTGCTCACATATCCACCTTCATCAGAGCTTAGGTGTTATGTGCAGGAGCAATCTGGAAAGTTGGTTAATCCTGGGTTTTAGTTCTTTATAGATTGTAATTTGAAGCTTTCTCTGTAAAGTTGTGTGGGGACAGAAACTCTTAAGGTGCCCATACACCTTACAACCATCGCACGACTTTCATCCTGCGATGGCTATAAAATCATTAACAGCTTGTACGATCTGCCCATCTTGGAGAGGCAGATCGTACTTGCGATCATCGCAAGCCCTCCCAGCTGAGGGGAGGGCTTTCGATACTTCCAATGATGAGCGGGCATGTGCACACCGGCCAGTACGCCACTAACCCGCCAAAAATGGTACGATTCTCAGCGGGTTTTCAAGCCTGCTCGGGAGACAAAAGACGTGCGACCGTCCAGTAGAAACAGTCGCACGCCTTCCATACACCAAACGATTATTGTACGATCGCGGGATGTATGGGCACCTTTAGATACCATCAGTAGCATACAATTGGTTGCTACAGACAACAAACTTTTCCTATGGTTTACTTTTTTTGAACAAATGTGACTAAATTGCACACTACTGCACCAAAGGATAAGTTGAAGCTTTATGTGCAGATTTAGATAGGTGAGTTTAATAGATCACTAGGGTTTATTTCTAATGTTTTTATCTTTTTTGTTTCTTTTTGGGGGACAGGGTTGTAGAAAACATCCTTCTACTTTTTTTTTTAGCTGTTATATGATGGCTAAAATAAAGTAAAAAGACAGAAAACAGAAAACCCCTGTGGCTCTAGTCTAAATAAGGCTCTTGATACTACCTACTATCCATGGAAATACAATATAAAACTATGTGAGGCTTAGGATAGTGGACAGCTACATCAAAATGTATGCTTCTAATAGAAAAACATCCAATAACATAAATTTAAAAAGGATGCAAATATGAACATTTCTGAACAACAGAACTCCAAAAAAGGAAGAACAATTGAGTCAAAGGCTCAATACTGTGGAACAATACATTTAAGTGCCGTTTCTAAAGATAGAAAAACTGTATTTAGCAGGAGTCCTAAAAGTATCTAGATGGTAGCAAACTTTCTCAACAACCTAGCATTATCCACGGCTGTCTTATCAAGCAGTCAGCGTGCAGTAATGAAGATTCCTCCTAAGCTAGCATCAAATGGTCAGGTGTGTCCGTGTCAGGAACAGCTCTTATGTCACAATCTGCTGCAGATTGGCCAACAAAATATTAATTGCAGGCATATTTAAATAGAGAAGAAGCAGGCAGACCAAAGGCATGGCTTGGTTAGGGTTAATGGTCAAAGAATATTTTTATGACAGGTAAGTGCCTAAATGAATCATTCTGCTCAGGCATGTGTTGTCACACTAAAGCCTACAGGTTTTATAACTGGGAGTGATAACAGTGACTAGATCAGCACTTAGATAAAAAAGGAGCCTGAAAATAACGAATAGGAAAAGGTCTTCCATTAATGATAGAATTCAGTCATAGCGGTTAGCTGTGATCATTTTAAGAAATTTGATTGAAAATGCTACAAAAACAATTACACATTACCAGGCCAACCTGAAATGTGCTCCAGACAAATACACGAAAAGTTAACTCTCACCATCTGTGTATCCAGAACTGAAAGGGCTTGTTCATATCAATGCTATAAAAACTATGTCTAAAAAAGTGCCTGTTTTCAGATTTGTAGCACATTAAAAAAAACACACACTACATTCACTGCAGTGAACAGATCACATATCACAAGTCTGGCATGCTGTTTTATTTGTTTTTACATTTGTGCTAGCACTGATCTGTGCAAGGTGCCATAGACTTAAAGGTGCAACAAAGTACACTGTGATTTCCAATCTGTACAAGTACACAGATGTGAACAAGGTCAAAGCTTTATATAAAAGGTCGCCGTACACAGTCTACTTTGCTGTAGAGCTTGGGCATGACTTACAAATATTACCAAAAATGTTAATTCAAAGAGACAAAGTCTTTGCCCATTCAGGACAAAGGAAGGAGGGATGGCCTTTGCACAGACACTGTCACTTTGCCCTGAACGGTAAGGGTGTCAGTGTCTCTTTAAAGCTATATTTAAAAAAGTATTTCTAGGTGAATAGGGGTAATAGAAGGGCTGAAACGCTTACCTTTTCTGCATATGGTCATGTGATCTCCAAAGATCAGAGACTGGCAGCTTCTCCGCTTCAGCAGGGAACATGTAATTAAATGCCTAGGCTTTTGGTCACATGACCAGCACTGGAGGGAGCCTGCTAAAGCATTTCATGCCATGTATTACCCATCATCTAATTATCGGTCCAGCAAAACTGTTAGCTTATCTTTAAGTTAAAATCAAAGTCTTTAAAAAAAATGTTAAGTTAAACCTATCTTAGCAGTATTGGATACTGCTAAGTTTTCTTTCTTACTAGGGATAGTGTAGTATTTTTCCTGATTTTAAAAAGGCAAGTGACACAGACTACAGTACAGCTTAACCCTATGGATCCTAGTGCTTTACTGAGCACCAGAACATTCCAAATATACACTGACCTTTGTATGTGTGCATTACCATTTCATCCAGCATATTTTAGGTTGCCCTGCTTGTTAGCTACAGAGTGTAGTTGCCAGGCTCCCAGACCTTAAAGCACCAATGTGGTACTACCTTAGTACCGAGTAGTTTTGGTAAAAAAACATTTTTTTTTTACTGTTGGAACAAAATTCTGATTAGATGCCCTGTGTACTAACTTCTATCATGCATTTTCAATTGGAAAGGGGGTTATTTCTTCTGGAGACTCCTGCAGCGTCGACAACCAGTGAATTGTGCAAGATAACTGAATGCTATGCGAGTCAGGTGACCGTTTTATAGCCTGTGGTTGATATACATACCCAGCGCTTGCCAGGTGCTATATTTAAAATACTATCTAAATATATTAATCTGTGGGAGGGGACAGGGATGGGAGGCAGTGATAGATTCCTATCAGAACAGCACTTGATAACAGTCTAAATGCTTCCATAGGGATACAGTGCATTGCATGGCAATGTATTAAAGGCTCTGGCCACACGCAAGTTAGGGTGAAGAGGCGTAAACAAAAGCCGAGTCGTATATACAGTCATTAACTCCAAGAAACATGTTGTTAACGGTACAATATAACCCCAACTAGTGTCTGTCAAGTGATCCTGGGGTTACTTGCGACGTTGTGCAGTGGCATTAGCTGCACGGTGCTGGTGCTGTGCCTGGAGACGTCAAGGGGGATTAAAAGGCTTTATTAAAATTCACTCTTGCGTAGACGCATCTCATGCCGCCTCAGGTGGTTGTATAAGGATTGGACGTAGGTGAAAACACACTTTGAATCTGGTTTCTTCCCCATTATCATCATGTCCTCAACTTCCACCAGTGGGACGCAGTCCACGAGATACCTGTGATGGGGAACACTATGGTGAGAATGCAGTAGAAGATGCTCATGAGGGAGGAAAATGGAAGAATTTGGGCACAGGCAGAAAAACAAATGAAAGCGAAAATACTATAAAAGGAAATAAAATATGCTAAAACAAGAACAACAATGAGAGAAGAATGCAAAAGAATTCTGCTGAAATATAAACAGGAAAGTTTCATGTTACCTAGTTTTACATATTTCTTTATTCCAGATAACCCTTTGGAAGGACCTAAACGTTTTACCTCAAGGGGGTATATTTAGAAAGCAGTCAGTGTGAAACCTCATCAAACATTCTCCTCCGGTTGAATCTTCCTGGCACATGTGCTTTAAATGACAGTGGATGTTTGGTAAATGTCACTTTCACTGCTATATCAAAATGCTCAGGAGTGAATTGGATGCGAGTACCAACAGCTAAATATTTATTATAAAAGGCTGACTGTTTAAGTCGGTACTCACTAAAATGAGCAGGTATAACCAGGGCCGGATTTACTTTCCCTGCTGCCCCAAGGCCAGGTTACGCAATAAACGGAAAATGGCAAGCGGATGGCAGGGTTAGTTTAAATTTTTTTTTTATTGTTTCTTTTTTAATTTTTTAGCTTATCGTTTACTTTTTTTTATTTTTTATAATTTCTTATCTTATTATTGTCTATTTATTTTATTATTTTTTATATAATTTTTCGTATTATTTTTACTTTTTAATCACCTTTTTATTCCCCTCTCACTGTTTACACGGAGCGGCAGAGTTACTTTTAACCCTGCCGCTCTGCTCCCTGCATCAGCGGCCAGTAAAGAGAGAGACTCGGCGGCCGGGGGGAGCACGGAGTCCCGAGGACGGAGCCAGAGGAGAGAGGTAGGTGTGGGGGGGAGGGGAGGACGGACAGGCTGCAGACATTACAAGTGATCGCGGTCATTTGTAAACGAACATGCGGCTTCCTCACACTACATTTAGTCCTGCCTTCCCAAAGCAGGACTAAATGTAGAAAGCAACTTACCGCCCGGCACTGCATGTTCCGGGCGTCTGGGGACTCCACAGCGCTGCCGCCCCTCTGTTCCCTGCCACACCGGGGCCGGGCCTCGGGGGTAATCCGGCGCTGGGTATAACTACATAGAATAATTGGAGAGAAGACTGACATGACTGCAATAGCAGGAAGCAAATCAACTTATAACAGTTCCCATAATAATCCTACACTGATAGGGAACCTATGAGTAAAGAAATATGGAAGTGGACATTGTTTTGTTTTTAAAAGGTGCTGGATTGGGGTCAGTCACATTCTTATCCTGGCTTCACCCAGAGGGTTTTTGGCCTGGACCAAGGATGCAAGAAGCATTCCTAGCCTGCTTGTTTGATCTAATCTAATGACTCTGAAGGTATTGAAGGCACACTGCTATAAATTCACTTTTCTAGTTAATATTTGCATTTTTTAAATATTTGATATTCTTGGTTCATAACAGTATATTGTAATACATATTGAAGCTGGCCTGCAGCATCAACGTTCCTGTAGCCAGTCCCTACACAACCAGCAAAATGCCAGACACTTATAATAATGCACATAGAATACCAGTGGGGTAAACTGACACATATTGAGGAGAATCAGGTGTAGTCACAAACCTGTACTATAAAGCTGAACTGAGTTAGAGGGTGTAAATACACACACTGGACCCAGGTGGACAATCTGTACTTCTATTGCAGGTCAGTGACCATCTGGTTCTGTAGTTCAACTCTGAGCCTATTTAGCCTACTGGTAACACATGAGCATTAATACATTAATATAAAACATGTATTAGGCATTCTCCTAGTAAAGACTATCTAGAAAGGAATGACTGTTACAGCTGGCCAGCTTGAACAAGTTTTGCTATATGTGTGAACCAAAAATACCGGTTCTATTATCACAGGTCTTCCTATTGTGTATGTACCAAGCGTCGATGGTATTTACCTTAAATAGTTCATATACAAACCTTTTTTTGTAATTCGCCCTCACAGGAGGGCTTAGCAAGTATCTTTCTTCAAGTGATCATACAGGAAACACAACTGCCTTTCTAAACTGAAGTCTGAATTGGAAGGGTAGTCTCATGTACTGAAAATGGGATTTCCACTTAAATGGAACCTGTCAGGGAGTCAAAAAGATCTCAGTGGCTACTGATGGAAAAAGCTATTCTGTGATTCTAGGACCGCATACTGGTTTGGTCAGTCACCTCACTTACCGCCAATCTAAACAGGCTCATTTGTATTGCCTTAACACTAGTATGCAGCCTGCAAAACAGAGTGGCAGCTTCTGCCTGGGGCTTCTTAGATGGACGTTGCCATCTACAATGGCCACGTATTATTCATTTTAGAAATCCTTTCCACACCTTTGTCAGCCTAAAGGGCATATAAACTCCTGTGTGTGTCCACTACTTCTACTTTACAGCATTTCACCAATAAGCAAGTCTGAATAGGACAAAAAGGCTCAGAACGGGAGTTTCCCCTATTCTGTTTATGTAAGCTGTGTCGCCAACCAGCATGCTTCAGAGTACTGACTAAAATGACAAAGTCATTTCAACTCTTTTTGGCACCAAATTGACTAGGAAGGTCTTATTCTGCCATCATTTTCATTTAAGGTATACCACCATGACAGAAAATACACTGTGGCATACTGGATATTCCTAGTACTGGGGCCCTGGTATTAACTTGACTTTTTCTTGAGCACATATACAAGCTCTGTGACTCATAATTTCCATGATTTAGTTTATGTATCTACAGAAATAACCTCCCTAAGCTCCATATAAGTGCATGACCAGTCCCCTAGATTTAACACTCTCTAACACAACTGAGAGCCAGAAGACAGCAATGAGCTGCCTTGCAGCTAAGGGATATTAAACATATATAACTATTGCTACTGAACCTAGTGACAAAAACAGATGTGGAAGCATGGCTACCAACTAAAATATGACATATGGTCCTAATGTAAAAGGACAACAAATCTTTAATCCTATAGCTATTTTTGTAAGAGTACAACAGTCCGCTGAGAATATTTTTTAAACAGTAATGATTATAGACGCTACGTTTAGCTGAGAAGTAACAGCCCACCGTAGGACAGAGATTAAAATAGGAAAACAATTCCTTTAAAGTACATGGTGATAAGTAACTTCTCTGATTGCCATCTCTTAGCGTGCCTAGTATTCTAAAATGTCGTTGTCCTTGTCAAACAATTCTTTAAAAAGCAGGTTAAATTTAAAGGAGAACAATGGGATGGAGTGAAACACACTCATCAACATACTTAGAGCCAGCGTTTGGCACTGAAGCGGTCGCATGTCAGCTCTATTGATGGAGAACTGAGCGATCACATACTGCCGATCGCCTAGTTCACAATCTTCTCCCTACAAAGTCAGTCACCGTTCCCTGCTGGGATCCCCCCTCTCGGTTTCTCCAGTGCTGACTGGAGGGACAGATGGGGGAGTGGGTGGCCACAGCTGGCTCTGGCTCTAGAGAGGCAGAGCCAGCTGTCAATCAAGCAGTGGGGTGGATCCCAACACTCTGGAAACATGTGCCCACACTATTCTGTACAGCATATTAGAGAGCACAGCTCATGCAGAACACAGAAATAAAAGCCCCCAGAGCACCATGGGAGTGGAGCCCTTTTCCCCTGATTCAGATCTACTTAAGTATAACTTGCTTAGCATGATGAAATGCTACAAACCACACACAGAAAAATAAAAAAAAAGTCTAACTTAAATATGAGTGTCCTTGGTTCTTAAATGCATTTGGAAAACATAGAAGTTCTATTCTGTACATTGTCTAAAATTCAAGTATTTCATTTTTGATCAATACATCTCCTACTATCTACTATAACCTACTAGAGGCTGTGGACCCAGGACTATTAGATGCAAAAATGGCCTTGCTCATAGGGCTAGCCCTTGCATATGACACAGATTTTCTAAGGACCCTTCTATGTAGAGGGAGACTGAGAAAAATGTGTCTTGCTCCAGTAAACAAAGGGTGAACACTGCCTGTAAAACTGCAAAAGATTCTTTACATACAGCATATACTTATACAGATTTGTGTTCCATGTAGTGAATAAACTAAGCAAGATTCCTACTCCAAAAGTTTCTCTTAAAGCAAACCCGCCTTTCCATTGGAATGTGCTATTTAGCAGAAAGGAAGAGATTCTCTGGAAACACTCTGAACTGAGACTGTCCACATGACAGGTTGAAGTGCAAAGCTAAGTACTGGCTGTTTAAATTATTCTTTAAGAAAGAGCAGACAATGTTCTTGATGTTAACCACTTCTCAGCACTCTCTGCATTCAGCATCACATGCACAGATAACTGCACTTTTCATAAGCCGCATACACACACAGCTTCCCATGTACTGATAAATAGCATTCTCACCAGTGAGTCTATCTTGGAAAAAGTCCTAGGACTTTTTGGTTTTTACCATCCCCTTCTGCACGAGGCAGCGGTAGAACTCCTGGATGTACGTGTATACACACTTCCAGTCCGGTTCTCGCATGCGGACCATATCCTCTGCGTCTAGTAACTGTGGACAGTCAGCGTGCTTCCTATTGGTGAACGGATGGGAAGATTTGGTGGAAAGAGAGGGGGAAACCAGTGAACACAGCCCGGTGGGGAGAAAGAGAAAAAAAGAAGAGACAAGAGACATTCATCAGTGGTTTAAACATTCTGGTGCCATATCATGAACATACCCATGCTGTGAGGATTCAAGAATTGAGGTGCATGGTTGGGGAGAACAATAATCCACTGGGGTAACAAACAGATATCAGACAATTACATGGGGTGTGTTTGTGGATGGTGGAAGAAGTGCTGGGGTATGCAAACAGTGTGAAGTGCAACAAAGCCATACAGTAAAGAGGTGGCACACATTCTGTGGGAATCTGAGCGTGTGCAGCACATGAATATATGTATGTGTGTAGCTGGTGGCTGCTCACATGACAAGACCCACAACTGGAAACAATTCATAAAAAGCCACACAGCTGCTAGACTGCTTTGAGCACATTAAGTTCTTCTAGGGCAAAGCCACCTTGACCCTAAGCCAACATTAGTTTTCCACAAGATTCCTTGCCTGAACGTGACAATTGGGAAGTTTCCATGTGAGTGACAGCAGGAAAATACAAAAATGAACAGGCCAGTGTCACTGACCTGTATAGAAAAACCTTCACATCTTCCCACTAGAATGTGCTCCCAGGACTGACAAATGATTCAGGATCTGACTTTTTGCTTTGGAGTTGATATGGCCATTTAGAAACCAATACTGAGTGCCAGGTCATTTGTATTTTCAGTGCTGTGACTCATCCCATATATAAACAGAAATTATGAACAAGTCTAAAGTCCATGCATTGCTTATTATAAAAATTACATTAAATGATATTGCTTTAGGTTTTTTATAATTATTTACACCATTTTGTTACCCAATATAGACATTTCAATAGATGCAATTCCAAACTTCATGTGCACAATTAGTGTGATACATACAAAGTATGACAAATTCAGATAGCCAACTATCCTTGATCATCGTCCAGTATTTCCCAACTCCGTGCTCAGGGACTGGAAGCAGTGGCACACATTTTCCAATTTAAAATCTGGGTACTGGTAGTAACCAGTACACAATACCACCTTAAGTCTGGAGCACTAGCCCAGCTTTGCTGATCTTTTCAGCTGCCCATTTAGCCACCAGACGCAAAGAAATACCCAGCACTTCCAGGTATGTAGAGCATGCGACCCATACTTGACAGCACCAGTGCTCATAGATTGGCCTATTGCTCTCAGACAGTACTGGTACTGAACCAGAACACTAAATGGAGCAACCACTTTAAAGTGGCACTCCAGACAAAACATTCTTTTGTCCAGCATACTATCCAAATTTTGATAGCTGGAGTTCTGCTTTTAAGTGTCATTGCAGAAGGCTACTCAAAGGAGTGATTAGAAAATGGTGAATACTGGGCCTCTCATCAACACAATTAATACATTCCATGCCCTGCTTAGTCTTCCTAAAGGCTTGATTGGAATGCTTGTACTGTATTTGTGGTTCTTAAGGACGGATTTAGGAAACACAGGTCTGCAGAATAAGGTAGTGTAACGGTCTTTAAAGATGAAAAAGCCTAGTTGGTTTACATACATATGTAATCATTTCTCAATGGTTTGCTTGTAAATGGGATGGGTAGTAATACTGCACAGCAGGACTATACCAGTGCATAGTCTAGATGATGCAAGTAGCAGAGAAGCTTATTGAATGCAAGTAAAAGTCATGTAGTTAAAGATCCTAAAGCAGCAGCACAAGTTGTGTGACAGAAAGAGCAGCGTGGACCTCCACTATTTACCACCCCAGGGAACTGTACCATTTCAGCCCCATATTACGAATTTTCCTAGGTACTGCTTCTCAGTATTAGCACTTTAGAAACATTTGAAACAAAAAAGTAAATATTCAGATTTTCACAGCAAAAATGACCTTTCCTGCATCAATAACAGTTAAATGATAAAGGAAAGCAACAAAATAATCATACAGAAACAGGAAAAAAATATCAAAAGAGCAACAAAAAAGTAATCCAGATATATTAATAAAACAC